GGAGCTCATCTTCGCTACTACTTGTGTCATGAGACTCGTTCGTGTTTGATCATTTTGCCATTGTTCTAATAAAAAATATGAATAAATACATAGGTTGAAAATTTCTAATTGTTATTACTAACTCACAAGATAATATTTATCAAAAAAACTTTTACCAAACAATTTATTTACCAAGAGAAGAATCACTGTTCCGATTTTCTCACTCGTTAGATCTATCTATACCGCTCGACGCTTCAAACCAGACTGAGTTCAGCTTTGAAAATCTTTTCCTCCAGATCTTATGATTATAAATCTCACTATACAGTGCGTGCTACAAACTTGCCTTATCGTTCTTTTCAAATGGCGCCTTTGAAGTGCTCGGACCGTCGTGAGCACGCTTCTCACGTTCTCGTCAAAACCCGCTGACATTTCTTGTATATATCTTAGTAATTTTACTATATTTTGATTTGATTTCTTGTGCCATTTCAAGAGAAAACTTCAAGGAAACATGCATGTCTCAAAAAGTTACGCTGAAATAACTCAATTCCTCGTAATCACTAATAAACTTTAATGTCCCACGAGAGGGGACATCCGAGTGATATGCTAGAATTACGATGTCCCACGAGAGGGGACAGCGGAGTGCAAAGGGTTAATACTACAAACTATACAACGCTCAAATATTTCACAAGAGTTGAAGCAACTCTGTGTCTGCATAATTGTTATTATAGTGTGCGGTAGCGAAGAACACGTCGAAAGCTTTTCAGTCCGAGAAAATCACGCGTCCTCTTTCTTCACGGCTCGAGTTTCAATCCTGAAGATTCTTTGGCGGATGCAAAAGGCAGCAAATGGAAAATCAGTGGTCGGATAAGAATTTTGCGTTGGTAGTCTCGCTCACCTCCGAGTCCCGGTGATCTCGAGGGCCAAGGAAAAGCAATTCGAAAGTCGGTCGGCGAATTAGGTTACGATTAAAAAGCGACTGCGCGATGCGGTGCGGTGCGGTGCGGTGCGGCGCGGCGCGGAGCAACGAGTCGACTCGTCTCGGTCAGATATCATAAATCACGAAATCAATTGCTTGGAGCCGGTCGTCCCATTCTTCTACGCGTCCACGAGAGATCTAGATAATTCGCCTCGGATTCGTGTCGACCTCTCCCCTCGCCCCCGGCCGTCTTCCTCCCGTTCTTGTTGCTCCTCTTCTTGCAGAGAGTCGACTCTATTAGTCGCAGAAACAGGAACGTGTCCCGTTCGCGGATCCCGCCAAGCCAAGCACACGATAGATATCCGTCTGATTAACGATCGGATCGGATCGGACTCGGAACCTCCCGCTCCCGCTGACTGATTAACGAACCAGTCTTCTTTTCGGCCGGCTAGCGGCTTCTCGGCTCCCCACTTCCCGATCGAATCGTCTGTCGGTCGTACAGCTCGTTTTGCGACCCGTCAATGTTTCATTATTCTATTGCCCGGCGAAACCCGTCTGATTCCAGACTGAATCGTATTATTTCATTCGGACGTTTGTTCGCCGATTCTCGGCAACCGTTTTAATTGGTTCCGTTTAGTCCCCGTAAACGGGGAGCCGAGTTCCCCGAACTACCGGCATCTCTAGTTCTGTTCAATTCATCTAGCACCATCGTTCGATGGACAATGGACTTCCGCTGGCTCTACGAATCGCTCGACTCGGACTCTGTCAAACTGCAGACATATATAACGTATAACGAAACAGCAATGAGTTTCCGCTCGTTTGCCGGAGAACTTTATTCGCGGGAATCTAATGTAGCTTTAATGCACGATTTAATTGCTCCGGGATAGGTAAAAACCTTTAATCGGAGTTGGCCGAGCTTCCGTTCGTTTATCGTGGATCAACGACGACCAAATGTCTACCCCGTAAAACGTTCGGCGAAGTGTTCCTTAACTTCGTTTCCGAATAACAGGCTGCTTGAACTGCTAGGAAATTGCTTATACAGGGTGTTCCAGAATTATTGTACAAGCCAGAAATGTGGGGTTCCTGAGGTGATTTGAAATAACTTTTTCCTTAGCGAAAATGCAATTCGCGGCATCGTTTACGAGTTATTGACGGAGAAACAGTGACCAATGGGAGGCGAGATTAGATGGTGGGAGGCGGCTGAGTCAACGAGCGGAACTGGGCTTCGACCGTTCATTGGCTCGGCCGCTTCGCGTCAGCTGATCTCGCCTCCCATTGATCATTTTTTTTTTTTTGGTTAATAACTCGTAAACGAAGCCGCCGATTGCATTTTCGCTAAGGAAAAAGTTACTTGAAATAACCTCAGGGGAACCCATCGTTCCTCGCTTGTACAATAATATGTGGATGCTGTCAATGCTGTGGATTTAGTCTTCGCGTTTCCGAGGTCCAAGAGCGCGTCGCGTTGTACAGTGACCTTGACGAAGCGGTGATCCAGAATTGTTTTAGTGTTGTTTCAATGTGTAAGATTATAGCACAGTAATGAATTCGTCTTGTCTAAATTGAATTCGTCTCGACTCAATATTATCGAGTCACAAAAATATGTATTAATATTTAACACTAGATTTTTACGGAGCACAAAAAACATCTGTTTTACATTAGTTTATAAAAGCAACAATTTATTCTGATTTCTAACAAGCGTTATTGTAACATTTGCCGTAAGTAACATATAAATTGAACGAATAACTCGTAAATGTATCTTTACGATATGAATAATCGTAAATTAAAAAATTAGTGGCCCGTCAAAATGATGGGTTCCGTAAATTTAGTGTTAAAAATATCGAGGTGATCAACTTTTTTTTTATTGGGAAATATCCTATAATTTGTAGAGAAGCGAATGCTGGCCAACTTTTGTTGGAAACATTTTGTTTGCAAGACCATCGGAAATGTCTGAAAAATCATGGTTTGTTTTCGAATTGGATACGTCGCGTCCCGTCGACGCGTCAACGCGTGCGTACGTGTACGGATAAACGCGTTGGCAGCTTTTTGATCGGATTACAGCGTCGTCCTCGTCTTTCAGGATGACCGAAACCGACGAGCGGATGAACGAGTGAACATAGGAAGGAATCGCAAGAGAAACGAGGGCTGCCGAAGGAAGAGATGGTGGTAGAGTGGCTCTGCCCTGGACTTCGGCCGGCCGGAAGCCGTAGGCCCCGTCTTCTTCACTGCAAGGTGATACTTCTCGACGAGCACGAGCTGCTCCAAGATGTCTTGGTGAGTTTCGATCAAGTTCCTTCCTTGTAACTCGACGATCAAACTTTCTGGCAGCGCGCCAGCCAGCAGAAACTGCGAGATTCGTTTAAGTTTTCTTGCGGCTCTTAAAGCACCGTTTAAACCCGCAACAAATTCGAAATGATGAAATGAAATTAGATGTTAGATACGTTATTACCGAGCTCTGCGGTTCTCTTTTTTATGCAAAATGAAAATTGTGTTCGCGAATCGCGACAACTACTTGTCAGCTAGAAAGGTCTTTTTCCCTTTAATAATTTTAATAACCAGAAAATAATATAACGACACTCCCTAACCCTTTTAGTGCCGAGCGAAAGTATCGCACCTATGCGACAAAATACCGGACCAGTTTGACGAATTTGCTAAGTTTTGAGAAAAAGCTCGTAACAAACCAATTGATATTTGCAAAATTCGAAAAGAAGCATGTTACGAAATAAAGGGAGAATAAACCAATGCCAATATTGTGTATTTGAATATTTGTTGAAAATCGTACGAATAACATAAATATGAAGCAGTATGAAAAAGAGAAAAATCGGTTCTCTTTTTAGAAACTGTATTTGCATATAAGAGAGAAAGCATCGTTCGATATCATAGCTTTATGCAGATCACCTAGTATGAAGTATAGATATTACGCTTTCAATCATTTGTAACAAAATAACTGATACATCGGATCACATAACTAAAGAAATAATGCCACGATGCACGGCAAGCGTCAGAAGAATCTGCTGCAAAACCTGCGATCGATGTAGCTAGTATAACGTTACTGAAAAGAATTTCTGAATTATTATGAATATTTATATTTAGTTATCTGGCAAAATAATTTATATTTAGCATTGATGTCGTCGCATACGCAACGATATATCGTCGTTGATACTTTCCCAAGCATTGCGAGCCGCGATATATCGTCGTTCTGCGCTAAAAGGGTTAATTCCCTTAATCTGTCTACTATTTTCAATTTCACCTATTCATTCTTGTCACGAATGCATAAAGATCCGCAGTCTAGTCATCGGCGCGTTCACGCCAATAATTGTTTCACGCGACTGCGCGTTCCAGGAGAAATTATTCGGGACTTTTGTTGACCGTAAAATTATTGTTAAGAAACGAGAACGGCGCGGTGACACGACTACGCCCACCATTTCCTGCCCACCTTTTATATCCTTGATTTCTATTGCCAGAAGAGGCTTTAGCGTGGGTGTACGAAATTTCTGCACGCTGTTGCTAGGCCGCTCGCGGAAACACGCGCTCCGTTGTTTCTCATAAACAATGAACGTGCGATTGAAAACGAACCGATTTCAACGCTGGCCGCTTTTTAAAGCGGAAAAATTGCGAACTCGGCGCGAACCGTCGCGATATTTCGGATCTTTTTGTTTTCGAAAAGTGAACACTAATTGAAGCGTACCTTGCCCGCGCGGCGTGCAGAGGCGCGCATTGTCGTCGCTATATTCCGCAAAAATGGTAAATCATTTTCACGGTCCCTTACTTTAGCCAGCACTTAAGGCCTCCATTACCAAAAGTGGGCGGCGCTCGTCTATTTTAGAATGATTATCGGTTCACGGGACAATTTCGCGCAGACTCGTCGTATAACGAGCATCCTGTTAATTGCTCTCGCCCGCAGACACTGCGCTCGTGTCTTCTTAATTGTCTCTGCCCGCGGAAAATATTCTCGATAGAAGCGCGACACTTTCGAAGTTGTAAATTGCGTCGGCTTGAAGCTGAAAAGTAATTTTTAGAACACTCGTCGCGCATGAAATTTCGCATGAATTTCCAACGATTTCCAATTTCTCGAACGGTCTCTGCATCTTAAAAGGCATTTTAGCCAGGGAAATTTACGGGTTTCAAATACGGTATGTAATAATAGGAAGTGTATGTTTGTGTGTGTGAAAAAGTAATGAAAATACGGTAACAGTCAAGCAAGAACGGATGAAGTACAAGAAGAAAAATGAATTCAAAAACAAGAAACAACAAAAAATCTTTTCTAATCAAAATAGTTTCGAATAGATGCGACGTTCGCAACGTCTCGAATGTTGAATGAATTTCATCGGAGTCAGCGAAACTTTCTAAATAACAGCAGCGGTAACGCCCGCAGCAATTAGTAAGATTCGCCGTGCTTCCGTTGCCGGATGATTACGCGAATCGATCAGTGGTACTTTGAAAAAAGAAAGTGAAAATGGAAGAGGCAAAGGGGAAATGGTACCAGCGATTATCCTCTAGACTGCCAAGGCCAACGGCTCGGGACTTTCATAAAAGTCGAGGATGTTCGAGCGAGCTTGAGCCCGGCTGCGGCCCGGCCATAAAATACTTCCCTTTACGCGTTGCATATTTCATTGTCGCGACTCGTGACTCGAGACTCACGAATCGCGTGCAGCGATGGCCCGCGACCAATTTCTCGTACAAATCGTCGTCCGAAATTTAATGCCGTGACCTACTACAACGCCCCGCGAGGCAAGAACAGGCCGCCGGTCTTTGGGTGCGGTAGGGTAGGTGTACCGGTTATGGCTACGTTGAGGATTAATAAGAATATTTCAGTGGAAATATTCTTAAAGTCTTTTGCATCACCTAAGAAATGTACGAGTTTTAATAGACTAGTTAATACCGTCAGTTTTGATTTCTACGTTGCAATAGGGTAAGAAAATTATTCAGGAATTGTTACTGTACAAAAATAGTAAAATAATGACAAAAAAAGAAACGGATGCGTTTCGTTTCATTCAGAACACATTCCATTTAAACGATTGCACAGAAAAAGTTTACAAAGGTTTAGACAAATTTTGCAAGCTTCTATGCGTGGGTATTAATAATAGATTGAAGCATATTCGCGCGGAAAGCTTTCAGACTGAATACTTGTAAATATCTCATGAACAATACGCTATTGATGTCCGATTCTGGCAAATATTTTCGTACATAATTTCTTATTATTTATTAACCTGCTGCATTGAAATATTTGTTACTTGTTTACGTATTATGTTCAAATACGTGTCAGTAATGTACGTATTACGTTAGAATGTTTGTTACCCGACACCCAGTAATTCTTAACAAAAAATGTTTCGAATAAAAATTAGTCGGTACACAGTTTTTAAATAATTGCAATACTAAATGTTGATAAAAGATGTTTTTATTCAAGAAGAAACTAACTGTATATGATATAATACATATACATACATAAATATGTAAATACATATGTACTATACGTATATATTACATATACATTATTATATATGTACTATAACTGTATATTATTTATTAACAAATCGATCCATATAATAATAATTATTATTATATTATATTAATTATATTATATTATATTTATTATATTATATTATATGATATTAATAATAATAATTATTATTATCGTACTTTGGGTCAAAAATGAATTAGTTTAGAAGATCGCATCAGTGTGCGGCGTGACCAACCGAGTGCGAGAGCTGAGAGCCGATCGATGGATCGGCGGAGTTCGGGCGCAACTCGTTTTATTCAGTGGCAAATTAACGGGCATTTAACGCGTGGGAGAGCCGCGGAGTTCCCTCTCCTCGAATTTATTGGCCGACGATGGTTTATGATTTAATGAGGCACCGCGATACGGCTTAATTGCCATCGAGATGGTATCGCGGCCCAGAGGATGGTCTCGGCCATCGAGAGAAGCTCCCGGGCCCATTGATTTCCGTGATCGTTACATTCCGGATCCGTGCTCTTCCCAGTTATTTCTCCGGGTCGGGGTTAAATATTCATGGTTAAATCCCGCGGGATAAGTGACTCTTTGCGACTCACGGTTTTGTCATTCAAACGAACGTCGCGTCGCTCGCATCGTCGCGGCCCTTCGATCGCGTTCCACCATCTCCGCCGCGACTATTATTAGACTCGCGCGAAGCGGCTATTAACGGCTATTAACTCGTCCCTGATTGACTTTTGAAGGGTGAAGCTCATCCACGGTAGACCAGATTGCTGCGCGTTGTCCGTGCGCGTTCGCTTTCTATTTCGTGGGGAACTCGAATGTACCAAGTGACGCAGACTTTTAATATCGGGCCTCGATAGATTACAGGCTTTTTCGCAGATTAGTTCCGTCGGGAACTTGGAGACAAAGCGTGCAAATTCCCTTAGACTGTAGACAAACGGTGCGAGTCATGGTGTTTAATTGGTTACGAATCGGATCGCCGAGATCTACAACCAGCAACGCGGCGTAATCGTTGCAATAAACTATCTCCTGCGAGTGTATTTAAGTCAACGCAGAATTTATACGAACATTGTCGTTGATTTACCGTCTCTAGCAGCTATAATCTACTCGCAGGCGTGGTGTTCGCGTGTTCAGGCTTGCGAAACAATCCTTCGATGCTTGATCGTAGCACCGAACGCGGCATTAACGCACGGTTCGTCTGTCTCGGAAATACTCGGGAACGACTATTAAACAGTTCCGAATTTATTTTGGCAACCACCGACTCTCAAACACACTCGACACTAGTAAAATTCGATCGTCGTCTGCACAGATTTAATAATAATAATGACAATAATAATAATAATAATAATAATAATAATAATAATGATAGTAATAATAATAATTTATTTATTCAAGTATATAGGTAGAAAAAACTCTTTATTGCAGAAGAAGCAATAAAAAGAAAGATTTTATATAGCAATTTTACATAGCAATCGGAGGAGTACAAACAAAGAAAAAAAGAAAAAAATCAAAATAAATCCGATTTATGTATAGATAAATAAAAAATACATATATATATATATATATATATTTTTCTTGTTTTCTTTGTTTATACTTCTCCGATTGCTATGTAAAATTACTATACAAAATCTCTTTCTTTTTATTACTATATATGTATTTTTTTATCCCTGTTGGGTCAGCGATACATGTTGGTTCTGGAGCCCGGGGATACCACAGGTTAGTTGTGGGATGAAGATCACGTCAAGGTTATGTCAGGATAATGTCAGGATTATGTCAGGGTTATGTGAAGGCTATGTCAGAGTTATACTACTATATAAAC